CGGCCTCGTGGCGAGGGGGCGGTTGACGTGACCGTCTAGAAGGTCGTGGGTGGCGAGACCAAGTTAGACTTGTGGATGAACAGAGTGTTCACCAGCATCTGCGAACTCCAGGATGGAAGCGAGTCCGCGCGGCCGCCATTGACCTTCAGGGGCTGTATCCCCACGGACAAATGACAAGGTCCGTCTGTTCGTCCTAACGTTCCTGGAGCCGGGCTGTGACTACCTCCCGGCAATTTCCGGGCTGCCGTTCGACAAGATGTGGGTACTGGCCCTCAAGAGCGTGCGAACGGAGGGTTTATTTGACAAGCCGCTGTTCTTCGAGGAGCAGCATGGTACGTGGGCCGTGGAAGTCGACGAATGCGCGAAGCTTTTGGCGACCATGTTCTTCTACAAGGATGAAGCGGCAATTGGCACTGCTCATTTGACTCCAGCACAGCTGGTCGAAAGCGTTGACGGCGACGTCGAGGGCTACGTGGACGTGATCCGCTACGCCATCCTCCAACTCCCCAAGAAGAAGACGACAGCCACCTGACCGTCCTTTTTTTCCTTGCGCAAGCAGGCAGAACGAGGTAACGCCATTATCCGGTACTGGCAGAATGGCCTGAGGGACACCATGCCGGTGACAGAGTTTGCCGGCGAAGGATGGAGCGTCGACCCACGAGGAAAGGGGAGCGACGGCGACGAACTCACAAAGGAGAACTGCGTGCTTGACCTGTCCGAGTATGCTTACATCGCCCCTGACCGAAAGACAGTGACGCTAGCGTGTGTTTGCAATCCGGACACGGCCCTGTGCAACAGGTGCAGGTGCAAGAACAAGAAGTGCTCGCTCGCTTGCGGCTGCAGAAATCGTTGCACCCTACGGCGGGCGGTGCCGGCACCCGTGCGAGCAGGGGGGAGGTCTGCGTCACGGCCTACAGTGGGTGCTCCTCAAACGAGGCGGGTAGAGGGCACCTCCCGACCCCAACCGCCCATCGAGAGTCGACCACGGCCATCCTACAGTGTTGCCAATGCCATGGCACTCTTTGCCGCCTCTTTGAGGCACCAGGTATCGCACGGAGCGGAACAGAACGACGTGGAGGCGGGAACCCCCGAGTCGCCTGCGAGCAACGACGTTTCCGCCGGCGAGGCCGCGGAATCTAAAAACGCAGAGTTGGAGGACCCCGAGTCGGACGAGAAGTGCGACGGTTCGGTCGGTGCACTCGACGATTTGATCCAGTTGGATTCGAGCGAATCTGGTTCCAGCGATGGGGAATCTGACGGGGTGAGCGAGAAGAGCGTCGATTCCAACTGGAGTGGCGGAGACACAGATGATGGTGTTGCGGATCTCGTAACCGACGCCTGGAACTGAGATCTGGCTACTTCTTCAGGCAGGTACATATATCGTTCCTTGGGATTGGGGTTGGGGATGTCGTGCCCGCCATTATTGCACGTCAGATCTCCACGTCGTAACGAAAGATCGTGTGGTCTGATTTATGCTTACTCCATGTTTCAACGACATACTTCGCGCGTCTTTGTTGATGGTTGAACAGGTCCGTCCGTGCTTGACTTCCGTTGGATACATCCATCCACGAAATACGACGACCCGGGGTACGAGATATCAGACGGACGAACTTCAGCCTAATACTGAAAAGCCGGCTAGGGCGCGCGTTTCCGCCCTCGGCGAATTTTCGTTCCTAATAGTTGCGCACGTAGTTGCGCAGGGAGGTGGACCGGGGGGGGGTATTATTCTTCGCCCAAACCGGGTGTCCGTTGTTTATTGGTGTGGTATTCTGTTCTCCGCGTTTTTCCGGCAGACTGCCGGAAACGTATTGTTGGGGTGCTGTGTGCGTTGGCCCGGTATTGTGTGCGGTGTTCGTGTGTAAGTATTTCCGGCGTTTTCGCCACACCCAATGCTCAGGGCGTCCTCATGTACATCGAGACAAGTACTTCAATGTGTACATATATATATATGCCGGCCGTGCCTGCATGCGACACCCCAAAGCACGACGTTATCAGTGGCCAAACTCATTGTTACTGTAGGTGCCGTGCTACTGTCGCTATTCGACCATTCTTGCATTTTTTTCTTCGGGAATCAGGAGAGTTGTGCACTGCTCGGCGAGGGTCGGAAGCGTGTGCGGTGCAACATTATAGGGGCACCACCAACAGCAATTTCAGTCCAAATCTAGCTAACGCCATTCAAGAGTACTCCACCTATAGTTGGTATTGCAGCACAATTCTAAGTGCAATACAACCACAAGATCAGCAGCTAGCATAATCGATGCTCGGTGTTGCCGGCAACGTGTCAGGGCATAAACACTGTGCCTGTATGCGAACGCCACTTTTCAACTTCATTCGTACCTACCTCTCGATCCTCTGCACCAATCAAGTTGAATTCTTATGCGATCTATTGTCTGGCGCTCAGTCCGTCTTCCATCATTTTTTTGTGGCGATCGATGCAGTGGTGGGCGCGTTCTCATGCTTGGTGTCTTTGGCGGGTGCACAGCAGCGTGGTTGCGCCGCGTAGATACCATCGGCACGTTTTTTTCGGGCACGGGCTGTGGGTTGCGCCGACAAGTTTGAAGCCTACAGTGGACGGAATTCGACAAATCTTGGTTCCCTAGATAGCTATTGGAATAGTCTACTGCTATAAACCTTTAGCCTTGGGTGGATGTACGCCGGTCGCGCTGCTCTTCTGTGTAAGCCGATATTTTTTGTCCCGCCGCTTACTTTTTTTTTTTTTCTGTCGTGCAGCACTGTGTTGCTATTGGGGATTCCGCATAATGGAACCATGGGCCAGAGGGTGGTCGGGGGGCATCGGCGAAGATCGTCATGCGTGTCACATGTTACCTTTCAGCTTTTACCGAGCTGGATCGGGTATCATAGACAAATGTGTTACAGAAACTAGGCGCCCCACGCTGAGCGCTTGTGAATACGCACTCAACACTGTTAAGTATAGGTAGGGTCTTCCGGGTAGGGCACTCACCTTCACGACAAAGCTTCGTACATACACCCGTCCACGATTTTGTCTCGAACCACCCCTCGATTGAGCCGACTCCAAACCCTTGCGTCCACCATACGTGTGCGTTTTTATTATTAGCATCGACCGCGCTAACCGGCTGACCAATGAAAAGACGTCAGTCTGAGTGTGGTTGAAAACACAAAACACCTCTATCTACCATGAACTGGGACCCCGTGAGGGGGCAGCATGGGGGAGGCTAAACTATCCTTCGGATCATAGACAGAAACAGCAGCAACAGAAGAAAACTGCACGTACGTACGTGTCTACCAAGCAAGGCTACTAGACCTTGTACTCGAGTTCGTTTAGGAGTACTTTCACCAGTACCCTCCTTGTTTTCGCTACCATTATTCTGATCCTCATTTTGACAAGAAGAAGCTCTGGGCAGTTCTTCCCTAGCCCTACGTTTCTTGTTGTGGGGAAGGTCATCTGGCTCAAACCCTTTGCTCTCTTCCAATCCTCCATCTTTTCCTCCTCCATCGTCGTCTTCGTCCTCCTTTCTTCCCTTTCTCTTTTCTTCGTCTCCGTCACTCCCAAAAGAATTGCCCTCATTCCTATCGTTGTCGCAGAGATCCCAACCGATTGGCCCTGGTGGAAGTTGGTCGANCTTCGTCTTCGTCACTCCCAAAAGAATTACCCTCATTCCTATCGTTGTCGCAGAGATCCCAACCGATTGGCCCTGGTGGAAGTTGGTCGATCAGTAGCCCATGACGTTTGAACACATCGCGAGTTCGCATCGACAGAAAACGAGCTAGCTCGAAGGTAAACCGTCTCCGAATCCTGCTATAATACTATGAAATGCTTTCAGGCGGAATAACGCTCTTTCGTCCTCAAAATTCCCCGGACAAAAAGCTTCGTGCGCCAAGTGGTTGGCGATAGCAACGATGAGTCGATTGGTGCCTTTGCCAAGACCACAATTCGTTGAAAAAGCAGCAGTAAGGAGGGTAGATCTAGACGGGTTGAAAGTTCCCGTGTGTTTTCGTCCTATTTGTTATGGCGACAGTCCCCCCATTTTTCGTGGTGAGACGTGTACTACACTCTTCAGCGTATGTATGTAGAGGACTACACTTTTCAGTGTATTTTTTCGTACAACTACAACAACCATCCAGGGTCACACAGGAGGGGGGGAAAAACAGGGCCTTTTCATCTTTTTATTTCTTTTCATCATGCCCCACCTTCCTCCTGCGGTGCGTGCTGAATTTTATTTTTATCGCGAGAAGGGTCCAGCCGTCCCTTTCCCTCGTCAACGGTGCTAACGTCGAAGTTTGGTATTCACGAGAGCTTTTTCGCTATTATTTCGCTTTCACCCGCAAATAAATTTCGTAAATTTTTCACCCCATGGGGATTCGAACTAACTCACGACCTCTGCGACTACTACTAGCGGGTTACGAGGATACCGCTAGATAGACTAGACCACGGGGGCGACCGGTGGGTACCATGAACGAGATAAAGGTCTTCGTATGACTACCCAAGTATGCATGCGGTGATATGTAGTAGGTGTGTCATGTAGCTGCAAAATTCTCACGGATAGTCTAGATCACGTGTTGCTTTGATCACAACAGGTTTGAATACAAGCCACGCAAACGCAGAGAAAAGTAGTTGTTTACCTTCTCGTATGACCTCGGCTGGTGCGTCAAACGTACACGAAAAGATGTAGACGGAGGCCCACATTATTGTGTAGGTGGAGGATGAAAACAAAAAGGGAGAGAGACTACAAAAAAAGTATCCCCGCCACATGTCAACCTCAGCTGCCACTGCAGTTGTTCTTGTCACTTGTGCCACTTCCTACAAGATACTAGTCTATTTAGACGATGATACACAGACAGCAGAAGTGTACATTTGAGACCACCCTCGTCTCTCTGAGCGCGCGCAGAATGGGTTTATTGACTGTTTGCCTCGGGGTGGCGTGGTCAATTAGCGCAATGACTGGTATCGGTCGTTCGACCGTCGAAGACCGCAGAAAACGCTCACCACGTTTTGCTATTAATTCTGTGTAGACTACTACACAGTACAACAATACGCGCACACGTCGGTGTACAAAAATACATAATCGCCAGTCGTTCTAAGAAAACTGCGGGCTCTTGCGCTCTTGCGCATCTTCTGCTGTTAGCGGGTGGGCTGCATAGCTGAGGACCTAGGCTTACTCAAGCAACTCGTTTCACTGTGGATTCAATCAGTCTTGTTCGTGAATCCTACGATGTACACACACACTTCAGAAGGCTTGGGACATCAAGAGTCAGTCGTGCTTGCTTTCACCCTTCGTCCTTCTGCCTTGACGAACTCAATCGTTCCCCGCCGAGTGCTTACAGCATACTTTGAACTGCCAACCACAGTTAGTAGTTCAACCCATTCATTTAACCTGTTACTATATATATACTTCACCCTATTACGAATGTATCACGCACGTGGTATGCATATCATTGTAAAAGACAATAACACATGATGACGGTCTGGGGCGAGAGACAGAAGATGATGTCTGTTATCGCTGCAATGACTAACAAATAGATAAATAGCCAAGGAATGCCCACCCCCCTCCTCGCCTCCACGTACGAATGTCTAGCCGTGCTCCCGAAACAAGCACGTTTGATTCCCGTATGACATCCAAATAAAACGGCGACGTCGTGACGGAAGGACCAATAAATGAATATTACTTTGAAGACACTTAGACTAATTAACAAGAAGAACGCTACAGCAATAAAACTACACACGGCACGGCACCCCCACCGAACCAGAACAAGTAATAAATACGTAACTGCTCTCTGTGCGTTAGTGGCATACGCTCTCTACCTAGCCAGCCAAGCAGTGCACTCACTCGTCGTGCAGAATGTGGGTGAACGTTCATCCTCCGGGAAAATAGTAATTTCCACCCCCGCCACCGTTTGAGACGGCGCTTCTCACCCCCCCCCACGTTCCCGGAAAGCAAGCCTCTTCAGGTAGTACGCGCGAGTTGAGGCATGTGTGCGCCACTCCACGGGCCGTCCTCGGTTCTTGATTTTCCAGACAACGGTGTTCGTAGCGGCGAAATATTTACCACCAAGCCCGAAACTCCACTTCTCACGTATTGCATGTTGTGTATATATGCATACATACTCGTTCACAAAAGGAGGAGACAGACGGCCCACGTAACCTCACTCTTCTTCCTACATGTAGCCACAGAACAACACCAAAAAGGGAGGACTCGTCAATTGGCAGCCCAGCTCGGTACCTTCGCCGACTTTCCTCTCTTTGTCTCTCTCGTACCAGACATAGCCAAGCGAGGCCGCCAAACAAACCCCTCACACACCAGAAGAACATGCCTACTCAAGACACTCCGCGACCTCCGGCAAGCAAGACAGGCGGGGCAGATGGGAAAAGAAGACAACCAGAACAGTACCCCCCCTAAGGAGATTGAACGTGGCACCACGTGGTGTGTTTTTAATGTTACTGTCAGAAAAGAAAGGACACCGCGGCACGGGGTGCAAGTTACGTGTCATCGTTTATCCTCTTGTCAGAGTGGCCATAATACACCACCCACGAGACCCAAGAGCGTTTCCCACTCGTGAGCGAAACGATGGCTTTTCTGCCAGCCACCCGCGAAGCAGACGAAGGTCGTTGCGGAGGATAAGACGGAGTCGACGTGCCGAGCCTGGGAGAAAAGGGTTTCATTATTTATTTGTCCACTTGACGACTTGAGCCACATCTCCCTGACCGCGAAACAACAGTAGCACGCCTTCGACCTCCTCTCGTACTACTCTAGAGTGCCGGTGTCCACATCCATACACAATCCTTCGAGCGAGACTTGGCTGCGCCAGATTAGTAAGCAATAGCCATTGCTACAATACATGGTGGCCCACGTGACATCCCAATAAATTGACCATCCTGTCGCGGTTAGTGCAAGAAAAGGTGATGTCCACACGTGGTACATGGATGGTATTGCTCTGCCGCAACAAAAAGAATGAAAGAGAAAACATGTGCATCGCGACAGAGGAGTACACGAGAAAGCGCTAGACGCCTTAAAAATAACCCGGGGTAAAATAAAAAAAACATCGTCGTTGGAGTTTTTCCAATCGTGCGCTACACGAAAATTCGGGCAACATTCCTAACGGCATCTAACCGCGTGCTCCCACGCCCCCTCTCCCGCGTTCCACTCACGCACCACCACCATCTATCCCGTTGGAATCTACCCCACCCACCCTGCGAGCGTGCAACACCTACACGACAAGCTTCGACAACAAGGAATGGATGCTTGTCGGTCACCATACCATGTCGCGCGCGCAAGAAAGACATTCAATACACGCAGCACCTACGACAACAAAGAAGAAAACGCACACACACACGCTAGACATGGGCATCAACTTCCCTGCCCGGTTGCCGCCAGAATCAACGACGGGGACGTACGTGTGTGTGGATCTCCCGAAGTTACACGCTAGACGACACCACCAACGACAACAACACATTTATTTTTCTCCGCCGCCGCTGGCAGCATGATTCTTGCGGTTTGCACGCACTCGAGCATGGCGTCGAAACACCTCCGGACCAGCCAATAGCCGAAATCTCGTAAGGGTTTGCAAAAAACAAACAAACAATGGGAGTAAAATCCGCATACTTTTGTAGAATGGCACAACGACCCAAGAGAGGCTGGATCCCTTGGCTGCTAGATGGCGTCACCCCTACGCTCTGCCGCACACTCGACTAAGAACATGACTACCCACGTGTCGGCTGAGAGCCGCTGCCGTGGCCACCGCCGCCATCTGCAGATGTCTGTCGCCTTCTACCCCGTCTCCGAGCACAAACAACGCAGAGGCGCAAGCGATGTCATGTCCCCGGCGTGCCGATACGCCAAAACCCCAGGTGCCGATCGACGAGGCCGCCAAGAAGGCTGGCGGGAGATCTGATCTGACTAAAAACGGAGGTACCGTAGGTGTGACGTGAGATAACACACCACCCCATGGACCCAAATTTCCAAAGCTCGATTAATTGCCCTGCAGCAGAACGAGAGACGGTGGCGGAAATGGCTGCCGCCTCATAGAGAGAGATTTCCGAAAACGTATCGATTGCTGTTTACATTCTCCTCTTCATCGTGGAGAATTCGAGCTTTGAAAATCGTTCAAGAGGGGTGTGACAACTTACGTCATACACGGCAGCAGCACCGTGTTATAAGAGCAGCAGCAAGAACGCCACCAGGAAACAACGCCACACAGACTCGAAACCCTAACAAATACCACTCGTTGTCTTCCCATCCGATCATTGAGGCGTAACGCCTCGTTCTCAGGGGTTCCGCAGTATCACTATGCAACCTCGTGGCCCCGCCAAGGGGTTTCGCAACATCATTATCCTTTACCGGCCAGGAAGGCACACACCCCCGTTTCCCCTCCAAAAAACGCGCCCGGGTCAGACCTGCACCAGGCTGACTGTGTGAAGCGGGCGAATAAAAAACGCCAGGCCACCATATAGAACAACTTATTGGCAGGAAAAACACGGCCGGTGCCGCGTCATCTCCACTGTAGCTTGCTGCCAGCCAGCCGACCCTCGGTGGCAAGGCGCAAGCTCCGGACCTCCCTCGCCCACAAACATGTGTAGTAGGCAAACGCGGAGTTTAGACACCCAAGACATAAACAAACGCGGTCGGTCCCGGGGGGATGGTTACAATGACGCCAACGCGAGGCCCCCTCGTGTGCCCCGCCAGCCAAACAAAACTCACCCAACCCGAAACCCCCCACCAAGGACCCCAAATAACCGGAGGCAGGCCTCACCCTTCCCTTACCCTTTCCCCGCATCGAGAGCCAGCTGTTGATCCCCCCCTCCCCCGAAAAAATACCCCTCCTTGATAGATACCGGATCAAGCCCACATCGCGGGGGTCATCCCCAGCCCTTCCGCGGCCCTCGGGTCGGCGCGCTGCCGCTCCTCGTGGCCCAGGAGCTTTCCCTCCAGCGCCGCCATCTTCTCCTCCAGCATCCGGACGATGTCTGCCTCGGTGTCATCCCCTGCCTCGGAGTACTCTCCGTCGCAAGAAGAGCCGGCGGTAGACCCGGCCGCGCTGCTGAAATCCCCGTCGCCGCCCGACCACGTCACGAGCGGCCGAGCCTCAGGTGTATCCGGCGCGCGATTGGTCTTGGTCAAGGCCGCCGAGGCTTCGCTTGCCGAGGAGGGGGACTGCAGACGGACAACAACGTCGGCGGCACCCCCCAAGGCCGGCGGCGGCGGCGGCGCTGCCGCTACAGAAGAAGACGAAGAAGCCGCTTCCAGGGCGAGTCGCTTCCGGTCCTCCCGCTCGAGCTTGGAGAACCGCCGCTCCAGGTGGTCGATGCGCTCCAGCAGCCGCTTGATGCCCGTCTTGAGGCGCTTCTCCATGGCCACCCGCGCCATCAGCCCCTCGCGGTCGATAGCCTCCATCTCCGACCTCATCGTGCGCAACGCTGAGTTCATCTCGTTCTGGAGAAAAAAGCGTGGGTGGGTGGGTGTGCGTGTTTGCTATTGGGGTCCGCAGCACTGCTTGCATTTTCGTTTTTTAGAGTACAGTTGTCCCCCGGTCAAGGACAACTTTTTTCCCACAGGCATTGTGCCCCGTCGAATGTACAACATGAGGAGGGATGTCATTCCGAAGGAGACCTCCCTGGCTTAAGGACACCAGATTTTGCGAAAAAACACGTGTGTCCTTAACCGGAGATCCACTGCTGTAGGTGCGCTGGCGTTTCATGGTGACAGGTCAACGCCAGACAACCACCGCTGGTCTCAAAAACAGTTCCCCTCAAACTTCCAATCACACATCCCGCTCCAAACACGTTTGCCTTGCGACCGAAAAAGACATCCTTCTGCATCACACGAACCACCAAAACAGCGCTGCAGTCCCTGCTTTCAAGAGGGCGCTACTGAGTTCAGAGGCATGGCGCCCCGCAGAAAATAAACGCCAGAATTGAATGCTAGGTGCGGCATTATCTCAAGGACACTTTCCTGCTGCAAGGAATCATTTTTGGGAGGAGGCTCATGAGCGAAGCGGCGGGAGGACTGTAAGGGAACGGCAACGAACTCGCGATGGCGGGGCTACCGTTTGACCTTCCCTTTGTGTGGTCTCGGCTGGTACATCAGGTAAATACGCCAAAGGCCTGTAAAACCAGCGCCAGAGTAGATGGGATGGACACACACACACCCGCACGGAAACTGACGTCGTTTCATTGGCCAATCAGTTATAGCCCGGTCGAAGCGGTGAAACAAACACGTCCACACGCACCTGCATCCTGATCTCAATCTTTTTGGTCTCCTTTTCCACCTCTTGGGCGACAAGGGGAGCGAGCATCCGACTCGCGTCTTCCACAGTAACCAGCTGCTGCTGGCTACCGCCGCCCCCGCCAGAGCTGCTTCGTTTCCAAGTGTGGCGAGAAAAAAAAATGCACACCAACGACACCCGGCGAATGTTAGGTCTCGGGCTCAAAACAGTCTCTTTCTCCCTCTCAGTCTGTCTGTCTCTCTGCTTGCCTCTGTCTTTGTCTCGCTCTCTGTATTGCCCCCCCCCC